CCCAGCGGGTTGAGGCTGCGGTGGCCGGGAGCGGCCACTGCACTCCAGTCTGGGTGACAGTGAGACTCCAACTCAAAAAAATAAAATAAAAAAATAAAAATAAAAAGAGCTCACCAGATGCCAAATGTCTAGACAATCGTAGAGGTGAATTACACCTAGCATTGTCTTTGGGGCGCTCCCAGACTGATGGGGGGATGAGGAAGTTGATCTGCACAGAGAGGGGGAAGCATAGGTACTGGAGTGCCCAGAGGAGGAGGTAATAATGCCAGAAAGATCTAGAAGGATGAGCAGGTGAAAGGAAGGAGGTGAGCATGAGTTGATGCGATGGTGGTGGAGGCCAGGATGCCTGCCCAGCCCTCAAGGTCTTCTGCAGTTGGCCTCTGCCAGACCCCGCCCCCAGGGGCCAAGTCTGGGTCTTGGCAGAGATCAGTGGAGGGGGTGGGGCAGACCTGGAGTTCTCCTGGCCTCTCCTCCAACCTTGGCCCTTGGGGGCAAGGGGCAGTAGAGTCGGTTGGAGCCTTGGGCTGCAGTGCCAGGCAGGTGGTTCCCAAGTCTGGGGGCTGCCTTCCCCCAAGGCCAAAGTGCCAGAGCTGGGCTTGGCTCTGATAACGGAACAATGAGATCAAAGCCCAGCCCCCTTCTGGGCAAAGGCTGAGCTCTGCTGGGGCAGGACTTGGACCCATCAGAGGGGCAGGTGGGGCGGAGGGTAGGATTGGCTGCTGAAACCCCATGGATGTAGGATCCAGTGGCAGGGTTCCTGGGGAACGCTGCATGCCCAGAACTGTTCTTTGATGACCGAAATCCTCAAGTGCCTACTCTGGGTGGGGGGTGGGAAAGAGGGCGGCACCCTAGACCAAGAGTCTTTTGCAGGCATCAGCCCAGGGGATGCTCATGTTGGTCCATGCACTGGGAACTTCAGATTCCCACTTTGCAGATGGGGAAACTGAGGATGCTAACGGTTGAGGGGCAACTCTCAGCAGGACTGCAATGGCCAGGGACGGGGAGGCCAGGATGGCGACTCCTGTCGGTCCAGGGCTCTGATGTCCAAGCCCATTCCTGGCTCTGCGGGACCAGGACGCTGCAATGTGTTCCTGGCAGTAAACAGCTTTGCCCACAGCTGAAAACCACCCTCTGCTTCCCAGAGTCCTGAGGCTATTGGAGTCTTGGAAGAAGGAGCTGGGGGTCCTCTGTCTTCCCCGGCACTTGCCCCCATCCCAGGAGCTCCTGCGTGCCAGGGGCAGGGGCCATTGGAGAACTCAGTGGAGAGACGAATGGGGTGGTGCTGGTGGCGGCAGGGGGACGGGGAGGGTGAGGTAGGGCAGGGATGGCCGAGGACAGTACCTTGGGTGTGGACAGTGGGGGCCCAGGCCCCCACGAGGCAGACCACCAGGCAGGCCAGGAGCCACGGGTTCATAGTGCAGGCTGCTCTTTCTCCCTGTGTGCCTAGAGGGATAACGGGGCCACCTGAGGGGGAGGAGGGAGTGATGAGGACCCAGAGAGGTTAGCAGCAGGCCCTGGGAGCACCCCCATCTCAAGCTGGGCCCCGGAGGTGCAAGGGAAGGAGGTGGCAGAGAACAGGGACAAGTCGTGCTGGAGCGACCTGCTGCTGGTCTCAGCCATGGCCAGGGGAAGGACTCACCGATACCCACTGGGTGCAGGGAATTGGTGTCCGCCGGGCTGCCCGCCAAGCTTTCCTGTCCCAAGGGCCAGCGGGATGAGCTTCAGGCTTTATAGACAGAGCCCCACCCGGCCACCACCTGCTCACCCTCCTCCCTCCCTCCTCTTCCCCACCTGCTCCCTCAGGCTCGGCTTCTGCCTTCTGGAGAGACAGATCAAGCCCTGACCTTGACCTCTGAGTCCCACCTTCTCCCACCTACCCCAGGCCTCCCAGCAAGCACCACGCCCCCTCCCTGAAGGGCCCTCTCTCCTTCTCTGGTTCCCTCTCCTGCACACTTCTAGGGAGACACCAGCTAACCTGCACACACAGGCTCAGGTGCTCAGAGCTCCAAGGGGAAGCCCCTACCTCCGCTCTCCTCTCCCGAGCCACCTGTGCCCTGGTGGGTCCCTGAGTTCACTCCTTTTTTAGTTCCTTCCACACAGTGGGGCGACCCAGCATGTCATAGAAGTGCCCTGGTTTTGAGAATAAGGGAGGCCATAGAAACAGAAAGATTGATTCGGGGTGGCCATAGGATGGGGGGAGGGGAGAACGGGGGTTGAGTGCTCGAGGGTATGGGTTTCTTTTTGTTCTGAAATTAGATAATGGTGATAGTTGCATAACTCTACAAATCTGCTACACACCACTTCCCATGGGTAAAGTATATGATGTGAATTTTCTAGAATATTATCTTGAGAATTCAATAAAATGTTCATGAACAACAAAGAAATGATCTGCTTTCGGAAGAAAAACCAGGAGCCCCAGGTAGCCATGCACATAGGAAGCAAAGCCAAATCCATCAAGGTGGTATTTCTGGCCTTGCATGGCAGCTCATGTCTATAATCTCAGCACTTTAGGAGGTTGAGGTGGGAGGATCACTTGAGCCCAGGAGTTTGAGACAAGCCTGGGCAACATAGGGAGACTCTGTCTCTACCAAAAAATAAAAAGGGATGTGTGTGTATGGTGCACGCCTGTAGTCCCAGCTAGTTGGGAGACTAAGATGGGAGGATCTCTTGAGCCCAGGAGTTTGAGGCTGCAGTTAGCTATGATCACTCCACCGCACTCCTGGGGGACAAAACAAGACTGTCTCTCTGCCTCTCTCTGTCTCTCGGCCCGTTTTCTCCCTCTCTGTCACTCTTTTAAAGGCATTTCTTTTTTCCCTGGGTTAGCGGGGTGGGTCCCGGGACACAATCGAGGCGGGGGGGGGGAAGTGAGACCAGGGAAGGGAGAGGAGCGCTGCAGAGGCCTCAGAGCCGGCCCTAACCTTGCTCTTAACTTTCCATCGTCCGCGTCCATGGCTACATATGACCTCTCCAAGTATTTATCACATCGTGACCCACTTTCTCCTTTCTCCAGCTCGGCTGGGAGCGCCTGGTAGCGACCCTAAGCCACTCTCTTGTGGGGTGGGGCGTGGCGAAGGGGCGGGGCCGGGCGGGGGGAGCTTCCCGTCGGAAGCGGGACTTGGCAAATAACCCCTAGCGACGGGGCGGGGCTGAGTGAGCTGGGGCTCGCCGCCGTGGACGTGACCTGGCGACTGGCCACTCGGGGCGGGGGCGGGGCTTAGGCGCAGCCCCGACCCCCCGGCTCGGATAAGACGCTGCGCTGGCGGGGGCGCTCGGCTGGCTTGCTGCGGCGGCCGGTGGCAACAGCCCCCCGAGCCCGGGCGCTGCTCCAGCTCCTCCGCCTCTTGGTCTGGGTGGGGGAGGCTCGGCCTGAACGCGGCTCCGCGTGGCTGCGGGCGTGGGGACGCGGCGTGGCTGGCGGGGGCCCGTCTCCCGGTTACGGCCCACTGCCCACTACCTGCCCTGCCGGCGGGCGGCGGCCAAGACTTGGCGTTACCCAGACTTGGGGTCGGTACCCCGGAGAGTGAACCCACCTTCCTGTTCCATTCCTCACTGTCTGTCCACTGGCAGCCTTCACAGGGAGGAGGAGTTCCGGGCGAGGGGACCCTGGAGGGACCAGCACGCCGGGTACACACGGATTTGCGCACGCACTGGGAACCCAGGTGCCCTGGCAGGAGACTGGATGCTCAAGGTCAGGGCTGGACCGGAGCAGGCCAGGCCTCTTCCGGGTCTGCAGCTGCTGAAGGCATTAGGAATAATCTACTACCAGCAGGGTGTGAGATGACTTCACCTGGGTGGACACAGCCCCCTCTTCTGTTCACCAACTTTGATGATGGGTGCAGCTGGGGGTGGTTTCCAGCCTGTAGCTGAGTCAAATTCCGGAGCCTGCAGGGCTGGGAGGGCAGGCAGGGGTCTTCCTTACACAAGCCCAGTATGGTGCAGTGGCTCTGTGGCCGGCAGGGGTGAGGGGGAGTCTGAGAAGAACACCCCCCCCACCCTCTACCACCCAGCAGAGGGCACCTTTAGGGGGAAGACACAGATGGAGGCTCCCTCAGGTGCTTACCGTTGGCCCAACTGTACAGAGGATGAGACTGAGGGTGAGAGAGACCAAATCATTTACCCTTTTGTGGGGGGAGGGGCAGGAAAATCTGGCTTTTAGTTTTTAAATATTGTGAAGGAAAGAGGGACATTCCCCTAATGGCGGAGGGCCATACAGCAAATGTCTGGGGGGGTCATCAACAAAGGCGCAGAGCCAGGCTTGGTGGCTCAGCCTATAATCCCGTGCTTTGGGAGGCTGAGGTGAGTGGATT